ACTCTGTGTTTTCAGAGGACAGTCTCTCTTCAGGTAGACTCTGTGTTTCAGAGGACAGTCTCTCTTCAGGTAGACTCTGTGTTTCAGAGGACAGTCTCTCTTCAGGTAGACTCTGTGTTTCAGAGGACAGTCTCTCAGGTAGACTCTGTGTTTCAGAGGACAGTCTCTCTTCAGGCAGACTCTGTGTTTCAGAGGACAGTCTCTCTTCAGGTAGACTCTGTGTTTCAGAGGACAGTCTCTCTTCAGGTAGACTCTGTGTTTCAGAGGACAGTCTCTCAGGTAGACTCCGTGTTTCAGAGGACAGTCTCTCTTCAGGCAGACTCTGTGTTTCAGAGGACAGTCTCTCTTCAGGTAGACTCTGTGTTTCAGAGGACAGTCTCTCTTCAGGCAGACTCTGTGTTTCAGAGGACAGTCTCTCTTCAGGTAGACTCTGTGTTTCAGAGGACAGTCTCTCTTCAGGTAGACTCTGTGTTTCAGAGGACAGTCTCTCTTCAGGCAGACTCCGTGTTTCAGAGGACAGTCTCTCTGGTAGACTCTGTGTTTCAGAGGACAGTCTCTCAGGTAGACTCTGTGTTTCAGAGGACAGTCTCTCAGGTAGACTCTGTGTTTCAGAGGACAGTCTCTCTTCAGGCAGACTCTGTGTTTCAGAGGACAGTCTCTCTGCAGATCATAAACTCTCTCTGTCTCGTTCAGTTTTCTCCCGCTGTGTCCAGGTCTCCTCTGACCCCCAAACTGATCCTCACTGCTGCTTCTATTTTTAAATGTTTCCCACACAGAGAGACTCTGGGTCCTAAAGCTGACCAGGTTCAGGTATACACATCATATTAAATAGTGGTATAATTGTTCTAGAAAATGTATTAATATTGTAAAAAGTAGAAGTACTCAGATCTTGTACTTGAGTAAAAGTAGAAGTACTCAGATCATGTTCTTGAGTAAAAGTAGAAGTACTCAGATGTTGTACTTTAGTAAAAGTAGAAGTACTCAGATCTTGTACTTGAGTAAAAGTAGAAGTACTCAGATCATGTTCTTGAGTAAAAGTAGAAGTACTCAGATGTTGTACTTTAGTAAAAGTAGAAGTACTCAGGTCTTGTACTTGAGTAAAAGTAGAAGTACTCAGATCATGTTCTTGAGTAAAAGTAGAAGTACTCAGATCATGTTCTTGAGTAAAAGTAGAAGTACTCAGATCTTGTACTTGAGTAAAAGTAGAAGTACTCAGATCATGTTCTTGAGTAAAAGTAGAAGTACTCAGATATTGTACTTTAGTAAAAGTAGAAGTACTCAGGTCTTGTACTTGAGTAAAAGTAGAAGTACTCAGATGTTGTACTTGAGTTAAAGTAGAAGTACTCAGATTTTGAGTAAAAATATTTTTACGTTTAACATCGATTAGTCTTTTGGCGTCTCGCAGTTGTTTTGCTTCTGTTTTAGTTGCTTTAACTTTCCTTGTTGTTGTTTAATGTCTGTATTTAATAGATTTGCATCTTTTAAGGTGCTTTTGGTTTGTTTTGGGTGATTTTGCGTCTCCTTGTAGTTTAGTATCAGAAAGTTGTTTAGCCTCCATGTGTTGATGTCAGTGAGGCAGTTGGTGAACTGGGAGTGGGTGGTTGCAGAAATAGTTTTTGTAGAGAGGTAGAGTTGGGTGTCGTCGGTGTAACAGTGGAACCGGAGTTGGTGTACATTATATTATATAATATTAAAAACAGTTTAATATTATAAATGATTCCTTTAAAGAGCCTGTGACAGCATCCCAACAACTGTTGTGCAATGAAATATTGGGCTACTAGTAATCTCAAACCGTCAGTTTAAAAAAGAAAAAGCGATACCGTTCCGTTAAATATCAATAATTTCGAACATCGCGGGGGAAATTCCTTCGACTCATTTTGAAGTTGTGGGGGGCAAGCCGGAAGTGACGTCAGTGCGGGAACGCTTCACTGTGCGGCGAGAGAGCCAAACACGGCACAAAGTGTGTTGTCATGCGTAGAAATGGTGACATTACTGAGTTTAGGCACGTTAATAAAGTTTAATGAAGTTGACTACAGTATATTCATATTTGTCAGTGCTTTCATGTCAATTCGGCGAACATAAACATAAATGATCGTGGTGAAGATGAGTGATTACATTAGGATTAAAAATCGGTAGTGAGAGCTGCTGAATTTCCTCCGTCGGGATTGTGATATAAAAACAAATCGATTATTTTTGTAGTTGGAAACTCAAGTGGATGAAACTACATGTACATGTGCTTTCATGTCAATTCGGCGAACATATGATAGATTAAATGATCGTGAGAATGATGATTAAAAGTCGTTTGTTTGAGCCGGTCTGCATTTCCTGATGAGAAAACAAACCGATGCTTTTTGTAGTTGTAGAACACCAACGTGGATTAAACGTGTGTTTTTTTCACCACAATGTTGGGGAAATTAATGGATAAAATGCACAGGATTATTATTATTATTATTCCCACTCCGATCGGGACACTAGGTCCACCGTTTTCCCCGCAGCGAGGCTCCCCCCGTTGACAGTTTACGTGGGCTGGGTGCAGTCGCGGACTGGCCATCGGGACGAATCCCGATGGGCCGGTACCGAAGTGGGCCGGTCGGATAAGTCACTAGCACATCCCCCATAGGGGCGCGTGAGGCTCAGGTTTGGGAAGGCTAAATAACTTTTTTACCTGACGCTGCCCGCCTCCGGCGTCTATAGGCAAGAGATCAACTCAGTGTGCAGAGTTTAAATCTCTCAAGTCATATTACAGGATAAAGGAAATACAGTTTAAACTGCCGTATGCAGAGAAGACGCCGACGTGTCGCACTTATCATTCATATTACATCATCAATCAGATCATCGATCATATAATATCATAATATATCATATATTTTCTTATCTGATTCAGCTTCTCCAGCCGTATCTGGCCGTGCAACACTAACAGTGTCACATACTGTATGCAGAAGTATTATTTTAAGCAACACATTATGTTGACGAAACACTCGAGTCAAATGTAATTAAAGTCAGATCCACTCGTGTCTTAGACGTGAATGCGCTCTCAGCTGGTGAGAGAAACCCTGGCTTGATTTACCGAGTTGATAACCAGCGTCGTAGGACCGCTTAGCGAGATCTCGTTTGTTAGTTTGTGTGTTGTTGTTTAGTTTGTGTTGTTACTCAAACATATCCAGGGTCTGTTGAACTGGCTTCGTAGTACAGGGCACAGGTGGCGAGCAGCGCTAATGTCAAAGACACAGACATTATATTTGTATTTTACCAGGATGCAGTGACACAAATATTTACATATTTACATTTACTATCTACAGCACCCGCCGCCCCTGACATCCCCCACTCCCCCTGTTGACAAATGTACTAGCGGTACCGAAGTGGGCCCCGGTCGAGAGTCCCGGGATGATTTTTTAGTCCCAGTCCACCACTGGCTACATGACCGTATGATCGCCCATATTGACCGCACCTAATTCCTAAACTTCTAACAGATACAACATAAAACCGATCCTTCAGCCTCATATGAGCTCTCAGACACGTTCAACATTAAACCTGTCATCGCTGTCTGAGCTTGCTGCTGTGTGCGCCATCGTGCGTTTACATGCAGATGCTGGGGATCCTGAACGGTGCAGCTGGAGCGCCTGTGCCCGCATGACGTCACACATAATTTGGCGGGACTTGAAAGAATCCCCGAGAAGATCCAGAAAATGGTCAACATTGAAGGGCAGATTAATGGTTATCAAAGTACAAATATCCAAAATCAGTTCAGTAACGGTTTTCAAGAGGACAATATTTACTCAAATTGATGGGTTTGGATGATGGGGGAAACTCGTGTCACAGGCTCTTTAAAGGTCTCCTATCATGCAAATGTCACTTTCTGATGTCTTTTCTACATCACCATGTGTCCCGGTGTGTCCCCGGTGTGTCAGGACTCAGGAGACTCTCAAAGGCTCAGGAAATAACCCCTCTCTCTTCTCCTCCGTACCCACATCTCTAAAAACGGGGAACAACGGAGCTGATCCAGATTTGCAGCGTCATGACCACATTACTCAAATGTTGCAGCAGATACACGCTTTACAACATCAGGAGGATACGTCCCCAGCTGACACAGAAAGTGACGCAGGTTCTGGTCCAGGCTCTCGTCATCTCACGCCTAGACTACTGCAACTCCCTCCTGGCTGGTCTACCTGCATTGTGCCATTCCGACCTCTGCAGCTCATCCAGAATGCAGCGGCTCGTCTGGTCTTCAACCTTCCTAAATGTTCCCACACCACTCCGCTCCTCCGCTCCCTTCACTGGCTTCCGGTAACTGCTAGAATCCACTTCAAGACACTGGTACTTGCTTGCATGCTGCGAATGGATCTGGCCCTTCGTACATCCAGGACATGGTTAAATCTTACACCCCAGCGCGTGCACTACGCTCTGCATCAGCCAAACGACTCGCTGCGCCCTCGCTGCGAGGGGGACCCAAGTTCTCATCGGCAAAAACACGTGGGTTTGCTATCCTGGCTCCAAGATGGTGGAATGAGCTCCCCATTGACATCAGGACAGCAGATAGCTTGCACATCTTCCGGCGCAAACTGAAAACTCATCTCTTTCGACTCCACTTCGAGCGATAGAACTATTAACAAAGCACTTATATACTAATAAAGGACTGGCTTATCTAAAGCCAGTTGAGTAGCACTTGAAATGTTTGGCTCTATGAAACCTGATGTACTTTATGATTCTGTTTTCTTCAAGGTTGTGTCTTCCTGGTCGAATGTACTTTTTGTAAGTCGCTTTGGATAAAAGCGTCAGCTAAATGCAATGTAATGTAATGTAATGTAATGTGGGTGGGCTTTACACCCACGGGCCAATCAGAAACGTTGCTGTCAGAAACAATGAGACGTGTTCTGGAAGTGATATGGTCTGTGTTTACATTAGCATGCTAACACTCAGAGCTAACCTGTACTGGAGAGAGTATGTGTGAAGAAGCAGGAAATCAAAAGTAAGTCACCTTGTGGTAAACCTGAGCAACACGTTCTCACTCCCAACCCGTCACATGTTGACTGACGGTCAGGGCCCCTCCCCGTCACTCTATTACGCACAGGGTACCCCTTGAGAGTCAGTTTTCAACAGGCAGGGCGTCCC